GGGCAGTGAGAGGCTAGCTGTGGAAGGGGCAGCAGTGACGCTAGAGAGCGGGGGCAGCGGTGTGGCTGCAAGGATCGCCTGACGGGGCAGCAGAGAGACTGCAGAGTGGAACGCAGGGAGTCTGCATGACGGAGTAGCCGAGGGCTGTGGAGAGGTCGTCGAGCGAACGCGGGATCTGAGCGAGACGCCGTGGTGCGGAGATTCTACGAACCCAATAAAGGACAACGGAGATCGACATCTGAGAGAGAGTCCTTTATTACACTGTTAAGCACCTCCTAAAATTTACCAGTCTTGCTGAGTCTTTCTCTCCCCCTGCCACCACGGGGGGATTTCCCCACAGCTCTCTCATTGACATGCTAATTTATCTGCTCCAGCCAGACCCACCTCTCTCTCTGCCCCCCCCCCCCTCTCTATTTAAGTCCACGACACAGAGGCATTGGGCCTATGTTTGTTTATGTTGTGTCTCTGTGTATCTCTGTGTTGTCTCTCTCTGTGTGTCTGTGTGTCTCCGTGTCTATGTTGTGTCTCTCTCTCTCTCTCTGTGTGTCTCTGTGTTGTCTCTCTCTGCTTGTGTGTCTGTCTGTGTGTCTCCGTGTCTGTGTTTTGTCTCTCAAATGTATTTCTACCTGATGACGATTGCTTGTGTTGCAATCGAAACGTCGTATTCTATCATTTAATTTATTTTCTTTCTACGTGACTTTACCGAAAGAACCAAAGAGTAATTCCTGCAGTCACGAAAGCTTCAAATCGAGTAACAGTGTCCCTACAGATCACTGGAATATAATCGACACAATTACACAGCAATCAGCTGCTAATGTATTTAAAAAAACTAACACTACCCAAATTAACAAATGTGCTAGACTAACTAACAAATAACTCTCATCTAATAATGAACATTTTATAAACAAAACGGTTATCAACATGACTAACGTTGAATTATACAGCGATATGATTTCAGTCCTGTCTAAAGGTCTTAACTTTGCTGTTGCCCCACGTACAATCCCTGACGATGAGATAATTGCTGAAGTTGAATCAGCAGTGAGACATCTCCCCCATATGATAATAATTTTTTTACCCTTCTATCTGGCAACAAAACTGACACCTTTTTTTTACAAGGAGTCATGTTTACATAGACCACAATACCTGTAGTCATAATGCAAACAAAAACACAACTCTGATAATGTATGCACTGTCCTTGAAATTGATTGGTCCACACCCGAGACAGCTTTTCTTAGAGCCTAGTCTCACATGGTGTTGGACCAGATGACGCCAAAAGGCGCACAACTCAAAGACAACGCACCATCAGAGTATGAGAGCTCAGGGTAAGCATTTACACCATTGGAACCTCATTTGCCAGTAAAAAATATGATAATTGGTTTTTTTTACCCTTCTATCTAAAGATGTCACTTTTGTTGCCAGATAGAAAGAAGGGTAAAAAACAATTATCATATTTTTACTGGCAAATGAAGTTCCAACGGTGTAAATCTCCCCCATAATCAAGCTGAGATGACGAGGCACGAGGTTGGCAAAAATATTGAGAAATGCAAATTGCCAAAAACAAATATTACCTTCAGTGAAGCAAAAGCCTTAAGAGAATTGAGAGCCAATAAAGATATCCAAATTCTTGCTGATAAGGACCGATCGACTGTTGTGATGCCCCGTGAGGACTACGATAATAAAATCAAAGATTACTCGATGAAGGTACTTTTAAAAAATAGACACCTTTATACAAGGCATCATGTTTGCAATAACCACTTCACAAGCAGTCAAAATGCAAACAAAAATAAACAACTCTGATGATGATAATGATATGCACTGTCCTTGAAGTTGATTGGTCCACACCCGAGACAGCTTTTCTTAGAGCCTAGTCTCACATGGTGTTGGACCAGATGACGCCAAAAGGCGCACAACTCAAAAACAATGCACCATTTGAGTATTGAGAGCTCGGGGTAAGCATTTACATTATTAGACATCCTTTGCCGCTACTAGTATAATACACTATACACTACACTATACACTACTATACACTACACTACTATACACTACACTACTATACACTACACTATACACTACACTATACACTACACACTATACACTACACACTACTATACACTACCCTATACACTACACTACTATACACTATACACTACACTACTATACACTACACTATACACTACACTACTATACACTACACTATACACTACACTACTATACACTACACTACTATACACTAAACTACACACTACACTATACACTACACTACTATACACTGCACTATACACCAGAGGTGGGACAAAGTCATTGTTATGCAAGTCCAAGTCGAGTCTGAAGTCATCAAATTCATGACTCGAGTCTGACTCGAGTCCAAGTCACATGACTCGAGTCCACACCTCAGCTATACACTACACTATACACTACACTATACACTACACTACTACACTACACTATACACTACACACTAGTGCTGTACTAGTGACAAATTGGCCACGTTCTATTTACGTGACAATCCTCACTAGTTGGCTGTGCCGGGTGGTGGCGGGTTTTAACGACACATTTTATATATTTACGCTTATCGTATCACGATATCCTCTGACGATATATCGCGATATATCGTGATACGAATCGACAACGGCTAAAGTTCAGAATCACTAACATCAGCGTCGCGGGAATCGATTCCGAACCACACCGGTAACGTATGGGCCGAATTGAAGCCACGGTACGCTATCGATTCACTGCGTAGAATCGATTCCCGAGGACACCGAAACAACCCCCCACTTCATGGCGGAAGGTGGGGGGGGATCGATTCGAACGACTCAACTTCCGGTCGAATCGATTTGACTTTCGGTTTTGCCGGAAGTACAGTAGCTGGGGGAGGGGTTTGGTGGGGGGGGGTGATGGGGGGGTTGGTGGGGGGTTTGGTGGGGGGGGTTGGTGGGTGGGTGTTGGTGGGGGTGGGTAGTGGGGGGGGGGTGGTGGGGGTGGGTAGTGGGGGTGGGTAGTGGGGGGGGGTTGGTGGGGAGTTGGTGGGGGGGTTGGTGGGGGTGGGTAGTGGGTGGGGGTTGGTGGGGGGTGTTGGTGGGGGGGTTGGTGGGGGGGGTTGGTGGGGGTGGGTAGTGGGGGGGGGTTGGTGGGGGGGTTGGTGGGGGTGGGTAGTGGGGGGGGGTTGGTGGGGGGTTGGTGGGGGGTTGGTGGGGGGGGTTGGTGGGGGGGGGTTGGTGGGGGTTGATTGAGGGGGGGGTTTGGTGGGGGATTTGGTGGGGGGTGTTGGTGGGGGGGGGGTTGGTTTTTTTTTGGGGGGGGGTGGGGGGGTTGATGGGGGGGTTGATGGGGGGGTTGATGGGGGGTGGGGGTTGATGGGGGGTGGGGTGTGATGGGGGTTGATGGGTGATGGGGGGGGGTTGACGGGGGTGACAGGGGGGGGTGATGGGGGTGGGGGTGGGTGTTGATGGGGGGGGGTGATGGGGGTGGGGGGTGGTGATGGGGGGGGGGCGAAGGGGGCGGAGCTGCGCGCTGCGCCCCACCGCCCCGAGCCGACGGGAAGTCGACAAGCGGCGCTCGCGCGGCGCACCGGGAGATGCCCCTGGCCCGTCTCGCATTGCGCGCGGGGGTCGCTTTGGGGGCAGCAGTAACAGCAGCAGGGGCAGCAGCAGGGGCAGTGGCGGTGGTTGAAGAATGTGATGCTGACGATGACGATGGTGACGATGTCGCGCTGAAGACGACGGCTGAGAAGGAGTGAAGCAGCAGGAGGAAGAAGTCTAGAGAACAGGTTGCGTGTTGCTTGCACGGCTCTCCCACCCACCATCACATCACCACCCCCCACCACCCCACATCACCACCCACACCCACCCCCCCACCCACCCCCCCACCCACCCCCCCACCCACCCCCCCACCACCCCCACCCACCACCCCCACCCACCACCCCCCCACCCACCCCCCCCCCACCCCCCACCCACCCACCCCCCACCCCCACCCACCCACCCACCCCCCCACCCACCACCCACCCCCCCACCACCACCCACCCCCCCACCACCCACCCACCCCCACCCCCCACCACCACCCCCCACCACCCACCCACCACCCCCCCCCCACCACCACCCCCTTCCTCGACTGCGCCGCAGCTAAAGACGACGGAGGCGCGGGGTGGGGGGCCGCTTATGGAGCCCCCCTCTAACGTGGTCGTGGCACTCGCTTTGGGTTGTTGTTGGGGTTGTTGTTGGTTGTTGTTGGTTGTTGTTGGTTGTTGTTGTTGTTGGTTGTTGTTGTTGGGGTAGTGGGGTTGGTTTGAGGTGGACGAGGTGGGGGGTGGTGGTGGTGGTGGTGGACGCTTACTGTGTTGAGGCCGTCGTTGGTGGTGGTTGTGGTGGTGGTTGTGGTGGTTGTGGTTGTGGTAGTTGTGGTGGTGGTTGTTGGTGGTGGTTGTTGTTGGTGGTGCTTTTGTTGTTGAGTTGTGAAGTAAACAAGGGGGGGGGGGGAGACTGGGCCGCTCTGCCACCACCACCACCACTGTCGAGGTTGTTGTGGTGGTGATGGTTGTTGTTGTGGTTGTTGTTGGTGATGGTTGTTGGTGGTTTGTGGTGGTGGTTGTTTTGGTGGTTGTTGTGGTGGTTGTTTTGGTGGTTGTTGTGGTGGTGGTTGTGGTGGTGGTGGTTGTGTTGGTTGTTGTGGTTGTTGTTGTGGTGGTGGTGGTTGTTGTGGTGGTGGTTGTTGTGGTGGTTGTTGTTGTGGTGGTGGTACAGTTTAGTGCATCTCAGCCAACCGCGTGGCATCTCCTGGGGTCTGTCCCGTGACCTCCTGTCAGCACTCGACTCTGCACGTGGCCCTCAAAGTGCACCCAGCCTGGCACGGGGCGTCGCGGTGACGTCACCGTCACTTTGCGGCCAATGGCGGCTGTTGTGATGGTTGTGTTGGTGGTGGTTGTTGTTGTGATGGTTGTTGTGGTTGTTGTGATGGCTGTGTTGGTGGTGGTTGTTGTTGTGGTTGTGGTTGTTGTGATGGCTGTGTTGGTGGTGGTTGTTGTGATGGTTGTTGAGATGGTTGTGTTGGTGGTGGTTGTGGTTGTTGAGATGGTTGTGTTGGTGGTGGTTGTTGTTGTGTTGGTGGTGGTTGTTGTGATGGTTGTGTTGGTGGTGGTTGTTGTTGTTGTGGTTGTTGTGGTTGTTGTGATGGTTGTGTTGGTGGTGGTTGTTGTGATGCTTGTGTTGGTGGTTCTTGTGAGTGTTGTGATGGTTGTCGTGTTGGTGGTTGTGGTTGTTGAGATGGTTGTGTTGGTGGTTGTTGTGGTTGTAGTTGTTGTGATGGTTGTGTTGGTGGTTGTGTTGGTGGCGGTTGTTGTGGTGTTGTGATGGTTGTCGTGTTGGTGGTTGTTGTGGTGGTTGTGTTGGTGGCGGTTGTTGTGATGGTTGCCGTGTTGGTGGTTGTGCTGGTTGTGTTGGTCGCGGTTGTTGTGGTTGTTGTGATGGTTGTCGTGTTGGTGGTGGCTGTGGTGGCGGTTGTTGTGATGGTTTTCGTGGTTGTGGTTGTCATGTTGGTGGTTGTTGTGATGGTTGTCGTGTTAGTGGTTGTTGTGGTTGTTGTGTTGGTGGTGGTTGTTGTGATGGTTGTCGTGTTAGTGGTTGTTGTGGTGGTGGTTGTTGTGATGGTTGTCGTGTTGGTGGTGGTTGTTGTGGTGGTGGTTGTGGTTGTGGTGATGGTTTTCGTGGTGGTGTTTGTCGTGTTGGTGGTTGTTGTGATGGATGTGTTGGTGGTGGTTGTTGTGATGGTTGTGTTGGTGGTGGTTGTGATGGTTGTCGTGTTAGTGGTTGTTGTTGTGGTTGTTGTGTTGGTGGTGGTTGTTGTTGAGTTGTCGTTTAGTGGTTAAAGTCACGGTGGGAGGGAGACGGAGCCGCTCACCCACCACCACCACCACCACCACTGATGTCGTGGTTATTGGTGGTGCTGGTTGTGTTGTGGTGAGGGTGGTTGTGGTGGTGGTTGCGTTGTGGTGAGGGTGAGGTGTGTGGTGGTTGTGTCGTGGTGAGGGTGGTTGTGGTGGAGGTTAGCAGGTATGGTGGTGGTTGTGTTGTGGTGAGGGTGGTTGTGGTGAAGGTTAGCAGGTATGGTGGTGGTTGTGTTGTGGTGAGGGTGGTTGTGGTGAGGGTGGTTGTGATGTGGGTTAGCAGGTGTTGTGGTGAGGAGTGTGGTGGTTGTGTTGTGGTGAGAGTTAGCAGGTGATGTTGTGGTGAGGGTGAGCTGTGGTAGTGGTTGTGTTGTGGTGAGGGTGAGGTGTGGTGGTGGTTGTGTTGTGGTGAGAGTGGTTGTGGTGAGAGTTAGCAGGTGTTGTTGTGAGGGTGAGGTGTGGCGGTGGTTGTGTTGTGGTGTGGGTTAATAGGTGTGGTGCTGGTTGTGTTGTGGTGAGGATGGTTGTGGTGTGGGTTAGCAGGTGTGGTTGGTGGTGGTTGTGTTGTGGTTAGGGTTAGCAGGTGTTGTGGTGGTGAGGGTGAGGTGTGTGGTGCTTGTGTTGTGGTGAGGGTGAGGTGTGGTGAGAGTGAGGTGTGGTGGTGATTGTGTTGTGGTGAGGGTTAGCAGGTGATGTTGTGGTGAGGTGTGTGGTGGTTGTGTTGTGGTGAGAGTGAGGTGTGTGGTGAGGGTGAGGTGTGGTGAGAGTTAGGTGTGTGGTGAGGGTGAGGTGTGGTGAGAGTTAGGTGTTGTGGTGAGGGTGAGGTGTGGTGCTGGTTGTGTTGTGGTGAGGGTGGTTGTTGTGTGGGTTAGCAGGTGTGGTGGTGAGGTGTGTGGTGGTTGTGTTGTGGTGAGAGTTAGGTGTTGTGGTGAGGGTGAGGTGTTGTGGTGAGGGTGAGGTGTGTGGTGAGGGTGAGGTGTGTGGTGAGAGTGAGGTGTTGTGGTGAGGGTGAGGTGTGTGGTGGTTGTGTTGTGGTCAGGGTTAGCAGGTGTGGGGGTGAGTGCTAGCAGGTGTTGTGGTGAGGGTTAGGTGTTGTGGTGAGTGTTAGCAGGGGTGAGGTTTAGCAGGTGTTGTGGTGAGGGTTAGTTGTTGTGGTGAGTGTTAGCAGGTGTTGTGGTGAGGGTTAGTTGTTGTGGTGAGTGTTAGCAGGTGTTGTGGTGATGGTTAGTTGTTGTGGTGAGTGTTAGCAGGTGTTGTGGTGATGGTTAGTTGTTGTGGTGAGTGTTAGCAGGTGTTGTGGTGAGGGTTAGTTGTTGTGGTGAGTGTTAGCAGGTGTTGTGGTGAGGGTTAGTTGTTGTGGTGAGTGTTAGCAGGTGTTGTGGCGATGGTTAGTTGTTGTGGTGAGTGTTAGCAGGTGTTGTGGTGAGGGTTAGTTGTTGTGGTGAGTGTTAGCAGGTGTTGTGGTGATGGTTAGTTGTTGTGGTGAGTGTTAGCAGGTGTTGTGGTGATGGTTAGTTGTTGTGGTGAGTGTTAGCAGGGGTGAGGGTTATTAGGTCTTGTGGTGAGTGTTAGCAGGTGTGAGGGCTAGCAGGTGTTGTGGTGAGTGTTAGCAGGAGTTGTGTTGAGGGTTAGGTGTTGTGGTTGTGGGTTAGCAGGTGTGAGGATTAGCACGAGTTGCGGTGAGGGTGAGGTGTTGTGGTGAGGGTTAGCAGGAGTTGTGGTGAGTGTTACTTGTTGTGGTGAGTGTTAACAGGTGTGTGGGTAAGGGTTAGCAGGGGTTGTGATGAGGGTTAGGCGTTGTGGTGAGTGTTAGCAGGTGTGATGGTTAGGTGTTGTGGTGAGGGTTAGGTGTTGTGGTGAGTGTTAGCAGGTGTGATGGGTAGGTGTTGTGGTGAGGGTGAGGTGTTGTGGTGAGGGTTAGCAGGTTGTGAGGGTGGTTGTGGTGACACAGACGAGAGGTGATGGAACGAAATCGCGACTAAACACGACTACCCTTGTGGCCATTGATTCTTGCCGGCAGTTCCATGTAGCAAAACAGGCGTGTAAGCCTGCCTTGTTGGCGCCAACATTGTTGTACTGCACTTCTGCGCTGTCGCGTCTGCTGCTGCGCTCCCTGCTTTCGCTGAACCGGACTGCCCATCGGTTTAAAGCCCGGTCAAACCATTCCCACCCGCATGGTGTCGGCAGGCCCACATCCAGCAGTGGATTTACCGAAGGTGTATTTATTAATTCATTGATTTCTCATCAGCATCAGCCGGGTGATCCATTGCTGGGTGCAGGGTGGGGGGCGGTGGGTCGGGGGGCTGTGTTGGTCACGTGGGTTGTTTGGCCATTCAGACGCTGTCTTCTCGACAGACCTGTTCTTCACCTGAGGACGGCTGCTTGCGTTGTGGCCGAAACGTCGTGAGAATTGTATTTTATTGTCTTGATTCTTTCGGTAAAGTCACGTAGGTAAAAAATGATAGGTGAAATTCCTCCCCGTAGAGGGTATTAATTCTAGATTTGAAGCTTTCGTGACTGCAAGGATTCCTACTCTTAGTTCTTTCGGTAAAGTCACGTAGGGAAAGAACCAAGAAGATGAATCCCTGCAGTCACGAAAGCTTTAAATCGAAATCTTTCGGAAAAGTCACATAGAAGGGAAATAATAAAATAATAAAAAATAAATCATAATAAAATACAATTCTCACGACGTTTTGGCCACAACGCAAGCAGCTGTCCTCAGGTGAAGAACAGGGCTGCCGGAAAGACAGCGTCTGAAATATTTCCAACAGCCCTGTTCTTCACCTGAGGTGCGGCTGCTTGCGTTGTGGCCGAAACGTCGTGAGAATTATTTTATTATGTTTTATTTTTATTATTTTATTATTTCCCTTCTACGTGACTTTACCGAAAGA